CCAGGGTGCACCACGTGGAGGTAAGTCTATCGCACACTCCTGATCCGCAATATACGTCCTGAATAAACGTGATCCTTGCTACACTTCTGTTTCCTTTATAGCTGGGCTATAGCTTATCTAGTTCTGGGACTCTAGCTGGTCGTAGGAGGATCTGCCATAGAGATTTCTCAGTCAGTCGGGCTTTAATAAAGTAGGAATCCGCTACATCAGGGCATTCTATTTCGATCGTAAAAAATTCGTCCAATAGAAATTGGTTCAACAAATTTTCTTACAAGCTTTATAAATTTCGCATTTGAAAATTGTTTGAGTTGTCGATGACCAATATCGTAATTATTGAAGATTTATTTCACTTATTTGCCTAAAGAGGATTCTGTGTTTATCACTTGTACTTTATTAATTTTTGGTGGCATTAATAATTCATTTTAATTTAAATTGTTTTGCCTTAAATTTCTTTGTTTTATGCTTAGTATGTGATTGAATTCATGTTATTTGTTTCTTGTGATGTTATTGTAACATTTTCAATATAGTCTGTTTTACGGTTAGCCCTCATACTATGCTCTTATAAAAATGTCTTTAGTTTACTAATAAATTTGTTATAACATTCGTTTACTGTCGTGCTTTGTTTTAATTTTCATACCGCAAAGTGAGGACAATATTTGAGTTACAGTTTGCACTAAAAGTTAAGGGCGGTATCTGTACTGATTGATTTGTCAAGCTAATCGGAACCACGGTGAACCAACACATGTTCGATGGTCTCTTACATTTTGGAATAGGGATATTAGAGATGTGACAATCTCGTGACCTAACACAAAGCTCTAACCCTCTGCAGTGGCATTGAGGTGACAAGAAATGACGCAAAAAATAAACCATGCTCCGGAGAAATTGAGGCACTGTACTAACTAACTGACTTAATTCCACTTAATTTTGTTAAAATATAAACTAGATTAGAAGGTATATACGTTGTGACCAGGCAGAAATGGTGAAATTCCTTGCCTCTAACTAATCCTTTGGTCTTAATATTACATCGGGGCTTCAAGACTTTCCGACCTAAAGTTGAAAGTTAAAGATTTTCAACGACCCCGTGGAAGTTCACTATTCCCGTTAGAACTCGGAATTTCATTTTATATGACCGTTCTCTTAGCTTTAAAGCACACCTTCTGTTATGCTTCATTAAAAACGGATTTTCAATACGGTTTTTTTCTAACTGTTGAGAATGCAGTCCAACCTGAGGAATAAACTATTTTTTGACTATCTAAATGGTATTCTGGCACCGATCAAAATCATGTAATTTTGAATGGAAGGCTTCTCTAAATTACGCATCAGTACAAATAGGTCTTTCAAAGACGCTTCACCATCTTTGATGGTTTTCGAATTAAAATAGTCCATAATTTCCCATCGCAATTGGATGAAGCATGAGGACCCCTCCCGCTGGCTACTTTCGCTATTGTTAGTACACAAGCCATGATGGAAAACGGGAAGTTTGCGTTATCTCTATTCCCTAAATTAGGCGACTAGCTTAAAGTGGAAGATATACTAAACAATCAAAGCAACCCGAGATTCAGTGGGCAACTTTAAATCTCAATAATTTCATTTTAAGAACAACACACCATGATAACACCATCATTATTGCCACTTGGGAATCACAAGAGCTGCAATTTCTCCGTCCACTTTCCAAGGCATGCGGCATATGGTTTGATGATTTCAGGCATGTTTGAATGGACTAATGAGATAACGTGAGAAGTACCACAAGGGGATTTGATAATCAATTGATTTTTCGGTCAACCAGTAATGAATTTAGAGTAGCATAACGCAATATCACACATTCAAAATAATTTGCTTAACAGTACAATCTATTTCCAAACAGAACGGACATTGGCACCCACCTGAATAATTGAACATCAGGAAAACCTTGTGAGAAGTTACTCCGTCCGGTAGTTTCTGATTTGAAAAAAAAACATTGGTCGTCCTTCTATTTTCAAATAGAGTTTATTTATTCTACTTCCGAGCAATCAGAATCACACTACATCGATATAACAACAACAAGATCAACTAAGGTAACGAGGTATCACACTTTTTATTTTGTCAAAATAAGTCAACACGTTTAGCAAACAAAAAATTTAATGATAATTATTGCCAAAGTCTAATAGTCAAAAATCACGAAGGGAAATGGGACAACACTCAACAATATAATTCATACAGAGTATAACTAGAAGAGCGATTAATGAATGTCCGCCAAGGTTGGATAATAAAACAGGTATGAAAGAATTAGACAACAAGTTGAAAGGAGGAAAGCATGAGAGAGAGCTATTATGCATTTAAGCGTGAGATCAAGATACCACGCATCGCACTGAGTGCACGTCCCTCAGTGTGGCTCCACATCAATCTCCAGAGTAATGGAGACATAAGGATAGTATTCATCATCGTTAGCCACGCCAGCCAACAAGATATCATCCTACAAAGAATACATTCAACATAAAAATCCCACAGTAGAGAAAATTCACTTACGTCTTTCGATTTCCTTGCGGCAAGTGAGTCCAAATGATGGTATTTAAGCATAAGGGTGTCGCGAAGCTTTTTAACGTTTTTACGAGGTACAACAATAACCGCAGTCAAGAAATCAACAGGAAAACCGTACCTGAGAAAAAATACTGAACAAATTCAGCGACCTAACTTACCTCATAATAGACTCGACAAAGAGTTTAAGGCCTTTAACATGCATCAAAGTGATGAACAACTCGCCAAAATTAATTTTCAAAAATCGAAATAGGGCCGGCTAATATGGAAACAATAGAGTGAAGGCAAAGAAGAACTTACAAAAATTTTCCTTTTTTCAGCCCGAGCTATATCTAATTCCGACTTTTCACCTTCTACAACCTCTTGTTTGTAAGTGAAATCTCGAACAATAAATCTGAAAGTGAATTCAGTCATTTTGAGAGCATTAACATTACTTCTTTTCTCTTGCACGTTGAGCGAAATCACTAAGCATCTTTTGGAAGAGGGTAACAGTCCAAAGCCCATACTCTTGGTCTTCATAAAGCAGCTCAGATGATCTGGGGACCACCATATCTACCAAGGTTTCGTAAGTATTCTCCCACTCCTGGTAAGCATGTCTGTAAAATAATGAAATCAATGGCAAATATGGTAAAGTTACCGTGGGACCACAACTAGAGACGTGACAAGATATTCGGAATCAAGTACAAATTGATCTTTATTAACGATATCGACCAGATTTCGAGTGAGAAGACTACCACTAAAAGCAAGTAAAAATTAAGAAACCAATAACATTAGCTAACATTTGCTTTCTTTCCATGGTTTGTACTGAGTTGCATAGGGTATTGTACATTGACGTTCGATTGCGAAATTCATTTTCAATCCTGCCAACAATCTGTCGAAAAGATTAAAATATATTGTGAAAAGGCACTTACCGAATTAGCCCTCTCCAGTAAAAGCTGTAGTGTCTCATTCGGAGGAAATTTAGCCGAATCCCAATCGAAATTGGTTACATACTCCTTTGCAGGAGCTAAAATATTATAAAGAATATTTTACAAGTTACATCCATTAACGACAAGATTTTCTTCCAACCTCTTGCGTTGTTCCTCCAACATATCGGCCATATATTGGACAAATTTGCGTATGGCGCTATAAATAAAAATATACAATAAATGCGCAAAGGCGGACAAAGAAAACACATCCAATGAATATCAACCTTTCGGTAGCGACTTCGAGTGCCTTGTAACGTTCTTGTAAGATAACTAATTTATCTAAAGTTTCCGTCTAACAAATAAGTGGAAATTCGTCCAAACCTTTATATTTACGAGAACATTAAACCTTACAATTTTGATCACATCCGAGCCCACATTAATGCCATCAGTGAGATCGACATAAGCCTTAGAACGATCTCCCTCAGCGGGCAGAGATATGAAAATAGCATCCGTCAATGTCATCACGACTGCTGTAAAACCCCCCAATTCAATCTTGCGGGCAAACGATAGTGTATAATAACAAATGTTTGTGTCCAATCATAAATAAATAAAAAACAAATTAAAGATAGCCAAAATGACACTTAGTATGTCATAAATTAAAACAATGGATCAAAACAATAAACTGAATTAAAGTGTTTATTCAGAAAACTTGTATAAATACATAATTTATTTACCATATTTTTTACGATGTGATCATTTTATCGGCTTGGATTACTCGCATAACTTATTAGTTTTTATTTTATAATGAGGATTTTTAGAAAATGTTTTACTTAAATTATAATGTGACACTTTCTACTACAGCCTGTTATTTTGCTTTGTATGGGGCTGATAATGATTAAAGTTCAAATTTAATAAGAAGAACTTCACCTAGGATAATTTCATATCTTTTTGTTCAAATCTAATATTACGTTGAATAAAAAGTACTTTAATTAGGTTTTACAAAAAAATGAACAAGCTATAGTGGTTAGTCCAAAACATAAAATATTTAATACCCATATAGCATTTAACCCGTGGTTCAGACAGTTAGTTCGTATTACATCTGACTGAATTAACATAAAATTTGATATTAATCTAGTAGTACTTTTTGTATATTATGAAAAAATGTAATTTCTGGAGCTTTAATAGTGTAACTGTATGAAATTATGTATCATACAATTTGTTGTTCGAATATCAAATTTAAATAATTCTTTTAAATATAATATATATATATATATTAATCACTAGGAAATTACTTTGCCCTAAATGATTATATACAGCCATCCCTGATTGGCTACATATTGCGTGGAATATCTAGACATATTGTTGTCCCTTCTCTTGCTGGCCACTGAATTTCATTGCTATATATTGGTCAATTTTTGTTTATTCAAGTAAACAAAATTTATCTATCTTCTTTAACTATGATGAGCTTAACTATACTGGGGAAAAATAACTAATTTAGTTGTTTTTTTAACTCATCTGTTCACAGACTGTTAAATGAGCGACCACGAAAATACCGATGCTTGGTCATCAGATGGTGATAGTGCCTCTTCAGAGAGCTTTACCTCATCTGATTCCGAGTCACGAACAAACGGCGTCACTAAAAGTGTCCGTCATCTTAAGTATGTTTTTCATTCATTTTTACTTGTATGCTGACTTTATAAACATTTTGCTTTTTGTTTTAGGCATACTGGAGTACTGGAGGGAACTGAGTTAATTGACCATGCTATTGATAGATGGACCACTTATTCTCAATTATGCGATCGTGGTATTGCCTCTCTTCGTGATACTATGGTTGATTCATATGTGAAAAAAGCCATCGAGACGAAACCTTGTCAAATTCCAAGTAGACATGACTCTGCTGAGACTGTTAGCAAATCCATTACCCTGTCTGGTGATTCGCCATCGCTATCTAAATCCCTTCATAGAAGTTTGTTATCTATTTCGTTTAATTAATAGCCTTTTTGAATTATGTAAATTAATATTCGCTTATTTTAAATTTTTAGGTAATCAGAAGTTAGCTGAGTTAAGAGCCTTTCGTAGGATTGGTCGTCCCTCTAAACGAGTAAATTTAAGCTTACGTTGATGTGGGCATTTATTTTAGGCTGAAAATGCGAAGCACGCAACCGCTACCTCACGGTTTGCAATATTCTCCTCAAATTTGGCTCCATGGAGACCTATGGGTGCGTCATCACAAAAGTGTCTTTATCGAGATCCTACAATCTCCACATGGGAGTATAAGTGTTGTAAACCCTCAATTCCTCTTCTTCCATACTGTGCTGAGCATTTGGTTTTGTCAGAAGAGCCGGCAGGCAATCCGCCAGCTCAATCCCAATTACAGCACCAGAACCCGATTACTCCCGGTTCTCCACCTTCCATGGCCTTCTCATTATCCAATCAACCAGATATCGAGATAGCTGGTGAGGCAGGAGCCAATATTTCACAGCAGCAAGTCCTTCCTTCCCCAACAACGGTAACCTCGGACTCGGTTTCTTCTGATCGAAAACTTGCACTCTCACCGGTTGGGAAGGGGAAGTTGGAAAGCGGCAAACCGCAGAAACCTACATCTAAGAAGTCAACATCGACTAAGTCCCGTTCTGGAGCTGATGGAAACACGGGGCAAAATGAAATCCAGTTTGTACCACAGGTAAGTCTGACACTGACTCTGTTAATGTATGATTAAATGAACTGATGTATGTTATTTACCTAAACAAATGGTTTTCTTTGTTTTGATTTTCTACTGTTATCCTAACATGCTATTGACCTTCTTTTTTAATGCATTATTGTCTATTTCTAAACAAATATTTGTGTGAATAATCTTGAAGCAGAGCTTTTGTTAATGTAACGTAAGAAATCTGCTTTTGTGTAATACTTGCCGAATAATTGCTTTTTCTTGTCATTCACAATCATTTGTGGGCTTGTATTCAATTGGAGTTTGCTATATTTGCATCTGCTCTGTATTTCTCGTACGGTCGTTTTGGATAATTTCTTCCATCTGATCAATCAGTTGTACCAAAGGTATGTGTAGTCTTCAGTAGGAGAGGGTATCGTGCTACTTGGATTTTTTTCCTATAACTACGACTTTTATGCAACCTTAGTGGTTCTTAGTTGTAGTTTGATTTTAATTTATTTATATCAAATGGCAGGGTTTTTGATAGTTAAGGTAGCTGGTTTCGTAGCTAGTAAGCCATTCATTTTCATAAGTTTTCATCGTTACTGAACAGACTTGCTCATTTGCTTTACTACTCTGGCACTCTCTAATTGGGCTGCAAAAGACAGAAAAATTCCGATTTAAAGTATTTCCGCATCTCCACATTATTTAATATATGTCGTGGGAGACATTTTGATCGGTCAAGTTCGACTATATTTAACGACTTTTTCTATCCTCTTTATAGTACTTCATATACTAATGTTAAATCCTCTCAAGCAGAGCTTATGAGCTCATTACTTTTTTGGGCACATCCACTTAATGTCGAAATCATTTCTACCGCTTAAGTATGACCTACATAAACTGATGGAAGAAGGTAACTTTCTCATCGGAATGGCAATACTCTAGGGTGCAGTCCTCCACCTTAACGGTTCCTTTAAGTGAGAGGTTGGAATTATCATCATCTATCTAATACTAGTTCAAATGTTAACTAAGAGATGACAATGCATTTCTTTTAAATTGTTTGCTATTTTCCTGAGGTCAGGTCTTAGAGGCTTGAAACTCATCCAATGAGCAGAATGATTATCCCATATTGCTTAAATCATTCGCTTATCTCATTAAAAAGGCTCCATGATGGGTGCCACTGGGAGTAAATGTGCTTGGAAATTTAAGAATTTGGACCAGTTTCCTTTAGGTATTAATGTGCCGCCTTTGTTTATTTCGCACACACTTTTCTCTTCTGCTGTAGTATCTTTTCCGCAAATGTGGTGGTGGACCGAACAATGACTGCTCTCAACCTGTGATCAATTGGACCGACTCTACTCGCTGTCACCTACACACCACCTTTTCTAATCTTTTTCCTCTTCCACCTAAAAAGGAAGAGGAGGGGTATTCCCAATTGGAATCTCCGGATTCCTCTCCTCAGCATCCTCTTCTTATGGAGTACCTTTTGAGGAAATATGCCGCTGATTCATAAACTCTGTCTTTTATTGTTCATCTTTAACCTTCTTGTGTAAATAATATTCGCTTACTGTGTAAATTGCCTTGTTTTTGTGTTCCCGCAAGTCGCATGCATAACTTCAGCTGAATTTCATTTTATTCATTACTTATAGAGATGCCAGACGGCTATGCAGATTCAGACGTCTTGATTGTTTCGGCTTGCAGGACACCAATCGGACGCTTCTGTGGTTGCTTGGCCAGTATTGCTACCCATGAACTTGGGGGAACCGTCATCTCTGAATGCATCAAAAGGGTTAGTTTTGTATTATTCTCTTCGCTCTAAATAAGGAGATATTAAAAAATCTGATCTCCTTCAAGGCTATTTCCACACCCCGTTGTTTTTTATAAAATTAAAACCATTTAGGATTAGGCAGTGTGTTTAAATAATTTGTCTCGTTGGGAAGATCCAATATGCTAGAATTTCGCAACTGAATGGTTACTAATGCAGTGTGAAATGCATTTTAGTGGTTTTCGTGTACAATGACTGGGAGAAATTTTTGGTCTATGTTTATTGGTATTGAATAGCCATAGCATTATTGAGAAACCGTAATTCTATTCACATTCGAATATTTACATTTATTCATTGATCTTTGCTCGAATGGTTATTCATTTAAATTGTTTATGCCATACCCTCCCTCTTCCTTTTTTACTGGCGCGTAAATGCGCTCTAAGACGACAAAGACCATATTGAACGACTTCTTTGATGTATGACCATTCTTAACAAAATATATGGAAGCTTTTTAAAAGTATTTTGGCTTAGAATGTATAGCCGAAGTTCACCTCACATTCCCATCAAAGGCGGTAAATTTCCGACGGGAAAAGCCTCTCATCACTGCTATTTAAAGTCCTGTATTTATGTACAGGTTTTGGTATTAAAGTAAAATTAGTGCCATCGAATGTGCATCAGTGGTGAACTTTGACATCGCACTGTAAATTCTCGTGAGTACGGTTCAAATAGAGTATTTTCAACACTTCCCTTTATGTTCGGAGCATTGGACAATTAAACCGCCTTAACAACTTGTTTACTTTAACAGTTCGACTAGTGACTTTCATATTTTTCTTTATTCCTACATTTTACTACATTAACGTATTAAATTTAAATGCTGTTTTTGATAGGTCCTCCAACTTTGACCACTTCTGAAGGTATCAGTAGCACTAGAAAGTGTGTTTTAGTTGGCTTGCGGTGTTGAGTAGGTCTGTAGATAGTGTTGACCAAATTCCAGTTAATTAAACGTGAGCATTTTGTAGGCATCCAAGCAATTTGTCGATCAAACAGAAGAAGAGGTCTTGAGTCATGTTACTGAGGTCATTATGGGTCAAGTGTACACCGCAGGTGGTGGCCAGAATCCAGCACGACAGGCCGCGAAATCTGCAGGTATGTTCTCTTCTATCTGTGTACAAATTTTTCGATTACGTTGAAGTATAACATCGTTGGATGAGGTTGTTCGCTTTCAAGAATCAAATTTTGACCTGTATAAGTGAGTTACAGGGATTCAGGCGAACTTTACCTTTTCGTCCCCTGGATCATAAGGGAATTTGGAAGTTCTCTCAGATTTTTCCTTTCTGGATGATAGGACTTCATGGGATTTTTGGGCCGTCCTTTTTCATACTCTTTCGGAATTGGACAAAGGTGGAATGTCTTTGTGTTTGCATGGATCGATCTGTCATTGTCTCTATTGCGTTTTTATTGGTGAAGAATCGGTGCAGATAATTACCATTTTCTACACACCTTTCAGTTGTGTTTGATCCTCAGCGAAGAAAGATGCAGATTTCTTAATTTCAATAATCATCTAAATGTCGCCTTCTTTCTCATTGTTCAGCTTTTTATAAGTCAATACGCACCTCTGATAAATCAGAGGACACAAGATCAAACCCCATCAGTGCACATTTTGTGGTGTGAAATGGAAATTTTTCTTAAGAGTCGTTCCCGGATACCTTTCTATAACCAAATCTGATATTTTTTACATTTTTCTTGTTAGTCTATCATTTTCCATGTGAATATCTACCCAAAGACTCAATCTTTTCCTTTGTTTCTCAGAAAGGTTTGTCGTAGGGATTTTCAGTCGGTATGCGCTTTAAATCCTTAAAATCACTACGTAACTCTTTCTACAACTCTAGGCCTCTCCTACACAGTGCCCGCCTGGGGTCTCAATATGCTCTGTGCTTCGGGCATGAAAGCGGTGTGCCAGTGCTTCCAGACCCTGCGTCTTGAGGGTGGTATGGCAGTGGCCGGTGGTCAGGAGTCAATGTCCCGCTGCCCACATATCACTCCCCCTGGCTGTTCACTTAGGCGTGGTGGTGGAGGTGGCAACGCCGATGGGCTACCCATCTTCGGCGACTTCAGACTCATGGATAGTCTCCTAAATGATGGCCTTGAGGACGCCTTCTACGGCATTCACATGGGTGTCACTGCCGAGAATATCGCTCAAAAGTGAGCTAACCTTTCTCTTTCGCTCTTATTTATAATGTTTAAATTCTGTTGCTACTCGATTAGCAACAGAGCCGCTGATTTATCCATGATAAGACGATGAGGTGCAAGTGAATACAGCTGTTGTGTTAAATTTGGTTGAAAATAGTTTAATAGAAGAGTGTTAACTAACAGTCTATTTGGGTTGATTTTTGGAAAGATATCGCCAATGTCTTACTCTTTGTATTTGCTCGGAAAACTGAAAGTGTGGAATAATAGTTACAACTTCAATAACCCTTTACTTACTTGAAGTATTATGCTGGAGTAGAAGGTTACTAGTATCCTTTTTGTTTCTAGATTCCACATCCGTCGAATAGATCAAGACGCTTTTGCTTATGAGTCCCAGGCACGATGCAAACAAGCCGTAGAATTGGGCAAATTCAAATCCGAAATCGCTCCTGTCTCCATCACTAAAACCGACAAACGGGGAATCGTAAGTCTCTCCTACCTTTTGTTGGTTTACGGATCAAAACTATTTGCTCGCCCTCTGAACCCATTTTTACTACTCTCGGTAGTTTCAAAATGAGGTAGTATTAGTCATCCTCCATTTATCCACTTCAATTAATGGATTTCTCAGACACCTTTTCGCTGATTTTATTTACATTCACACATGATGCTAGTCAAAGCGATTCTACCTCAAGTGGGTTGCATTTTTTTCCTATATTTGCACCGATCTAGAAGCACGGGGGTCTTAGACAATTATGGGCTAATTTAATCTGATAAGTTGTATTCTCTTGAAGTAACAACTGCCATTGATTTGGACATGACTTTTTGAAGTTGACATTTTAGTCCATTTATTAGTTATGGCTCATGAAAATCCACGTTGGAGGTATCAGTCCCTAATTAAGTGCAGTGTTCCTTTTGTATAGCAACTACTATTCGTACTTTGCTTCGATTGGGTAAATTTTAGATCTTTTAAAATTGGTGTTCCGTGTTTCAATTAAACGCAACGGGATTTGCCATGTTTCCCTTAATAGGGTCCTTAACTATTAATCACAATGCTTTATTTGTATCGGGAACAAACCTCCCAAGTCAAGATTCAGGGGAAGCATTCACAACATCTGACTCCTAGATGGAAGATACCATGCAGTCATTCTTATGAGAAGCTTACATTCTATTGCTCTCCTGCCACCCACATCATTGAATTTGCGTCGATGGACGTTGATTTCGTGATTTCTGACTTAGCAGATGTGCGCTTTGGCCAATGCACCACCGGTTGACAACAGACCCCAAATTGACAATGTCCTAATAAAGGGGCATTAATTGGAACTTTTGAGCTCTTAACTTTTCACGACTGCACATTTCCTTAATTGTAAGTAAGGTGCGGATCCTATTTTCCTCTGTCTGTAGCCAATCGAACCAATTATAATCTCCCTAGACGAACCCCCGCGACCACAAACCACAATGGAGGCGCTGGCTAGACTGCCTCCGGCCTTCGCCAATGGGCTGCCGCAATCTCAGGATGGGACTGTTACTGCTGGTAATGCTAGTGCTCTTGCTGATGGTGCTGCTGCTTTGCTACTCTGTCGAGGCGATACTGCCAAGAACCTGGGTATATTTACTTATCTTCCTATTGTGAATATACTTCCACGACAAGAAGTCACTTTCTTGTTGTTCTTTCTTTAAAATTCATACACAATCAGAATGACTACTATTAATGCGATTCCTTTAATGCCTAGCATATTGTCAGTTGGCATCTGACTCCTTCCTTTCAAATTACGCCGTCGATGAAGTAGCGCTAATGTGCTTGGCTTTCAGGTCAGAACTTATGAAATGCAGTGTTGCGTGCATATGCAGTAGGCGGAATGACCATCTGCGTTGGTTACTTCTTTTTATCCTAACTAGCTCTTCGAAAAACTCTGCAAGCGCTGAGATTTTCATCTCTATATAAACTCTATTTGAAGTCCATCAGGCAAATGCGACTAACTATAATCGATTGTTCTCTTTGCGCTTCCAACTTGTTGTCATTCTAATCTTTCCTTATACCTGCATATTGGGATGCTATCCACTAATGGAAAGTTTAAGTCAAAAAGAGCACAGTCGGGAGCTAATTCCACCTAGAATATAGAATATAGCTCGCAACCGCCGTCATTATAGTGGGGAAATCGTTAAAACATTTATTTATCTCAGTTGGCAGGCATTTTGATAACTATCATGAGCCATTTAGCCGACTTCAGGCTTCACAGAGGGGAAGGAACATCAATGTGAAAGAAAGTCGAGAGGGGGGGGGGGGGGGAAGAGAAGAGTGTTTCAAAGATGTAAGAGACAGACACAAAGGTAGAAAAAAGGAAAGATGAGTACTGTGGAAGTGGACGAATATGACATACAGTGGGGTCATGGTAGTTTGAAGTGAGAAGTCAACTGCCAGTTAATAGACCTTTTGCCGTATGAGTATGCGTTGCCCAGGGTGCACCTCTCGTTAAAACATAAAAATGCAAAAGTTGAAGTTGTGCTCATATCGATATGTATCGAGGCTTTTAGTTTAATATCAGTAAATGATCAATACAAGTTTAATTTAAATTTATCTACCGCCGTTTCTCATGTTTAGGTAGGTAAGTTAGATTGGCCGCATTCAGTTTCTAATTGACAATCGCTTTATTTATCTAGTATGCGTTCCAGTTTTACTGCGGTTAAAAGTTCATTCGCAGAACCCATCACAGTAAACAAATTTTTCAACTGAATTCTTTAATAATAACAGAGAGTGCCAGAAATCGAGTTTTTCACTATGAAGGTTCGATGGAATGAATATTTAAACTGATTTGTCTTTTGAGTCCAATATGTGAGCTGTTGTTTCACAAGTAGATGAAAACGAAAATGTCGTGTGCATAGCAAGATTCCAATGAAACATAGTCTACAAAATTTAATCTCAAGTTGGTGTCAATCAATTTCTGTCTTCGAGAAGATATAAAGCTCGAGAAAAGCGTTTTTCGGTTGCTTTCTAGTAATTCATTATATTGTAGGAATATTTCATTGATTTTTTCCGCTGGGGTGGGGTGGAGGAGGGTCACTATTATCGATGGGATCAGGCGGAATTGAAGATGTTCGTAGTTTATGACCGAGGGGTCAATGGGTTTGGGTTTTAGTATTCTTGCACTACGTCGCGTGAGAAATAGCTGGGAATTATCGTAGTTAAATAATTCATATGCAACAATGATGCATGGATTATATAATATTTTTTTAATGGAACATCATTTAATTTGAATATTCGTGAGCTGTTCAACTTCTTTGGATAATTATATGGATCTGACGTCGAAAAATTTTCCTTATTACCGAACTTGGTGGAAGTATACTAAGCGGCTCCTACGGAATTTGCTCTTTGAAGTCTGATCACAGGGTTTTGTCTCTGTGGGAATAGTCTACCGTTGAGTGCTGTTTCGCTCCAATGTTTGGATTTCAATGTCCCCCCCCCTTCCCCCCCCCCATTTTTTATGTGAAGTGGCTGCAGGAATTAGAGTCATCCATGGGAGAAAGTACATCGCACATTACCGAGCGTTATTTATATCAAATGGCAGGCACTTTGATAGTTTCATTTGCCCTTTAGGCGACTTCAGGCCTCACAGAGGAGAAGAAATATCAAAGTGAAAAAAATTCGAGGGGGGGGGGCAGAAGAGTGTTTCAAAGATGTAAAAGAGAGACACAAAGGTAGAACAACGGTGAGGTGAGTACTGCGGAAGTAGACGAATATGACATACAGTGGGGTGATGGTAGTTTGAGTCAGAAGTCAACTTCCGGTTAATAGACTTTTTTTGCCGCATGAGAATACGTTGCCCAGGGTGCACCACGTGGAGGTAAGTCTATCGCACACCCCATTACTAAACGTACGGAGTTGGTATGTTAAGGTATCTTATATCGTGATAGTGCATGAAGAATGCAGAGTCACTTGATTTGTTGGAAAGATTGATCAATTCTTGGTTAGGTTCAAACCAGTCGTAATTCTCTCTCAGTAAGTACACTTTAAATGCGTATACTGCTTGATATCCCACTTAAAAGTGTTGCTCTTAGTCTGGTAATTAAGCATTTTGTGATGGCTGAAGGGATCTATTGATTTTACTTAGGACTAGGTGTTTATCGGAATGTGAATTTCTTGAATAGGAGTGCTTCACCTATTGCGCTATCTCAACAACTGCCTTCTTGTTTCGCAGTGGACGAATGCAAATGTTTTTTATGGCTAAGCAAAAGCCTCCTCTTCACTTAATTAAGAATGCGCTCTTTTTGTATTCCAATTGGAGTGTGTTATTGATTTTAATTATATATTTTTTTATAATAATTGTTCCTTGCCCTTATCCTTCAGGTCTGCGCTGTCCGTTGGGCCGTATCATGGGCTGGCACCAAAGTGGTTGTGAACCCCTAGTAATGGGCCTGGGACCAATCGATGCGGTGAAGGGTCTCATGGATAAGCTCTCTTGGTCAGTCGAGGACGTCAGTCTCTTTGAACTAAACGAAGCCTTTGCGGCTCAATCACTAGCCGTAAGTTAGTAAGATTCATGCAAAATATGTGTTTGAACTGACTATCTCTCTCATTTTGATACTTTGATCCAGTGGTGCCGTTGTTAATTAATTCATTAGGGCCGGAGACTGCTTGAGCGAAGATCATAATTCTGGCATGCGTATCGTCTAACTTCAATTGTTGCGCTAGAAGAGATTTGTACCTTGAATGAAAATAAGAAAGGTATCCAATATTCGAAGCACCAATTAGGTACAGCGAATTGTGGATTTGTCTACCATTATTTTTACAACGTCTGCGAGGTACTTATTGTCCCTAGTTAGACTTGAATTATCTATCTAATCGATTTTATTAAGTGGTTGGTTTAAAAATTAAATATTGCATTGTTATCATTGACGAATTCTGTTTGATACTTAGTTGATCAATTGTATATATTCTTTCAAAATGATCATGCCTACCCTACCTTTGACAGGTTCTTAACGAATTGGGTTTGCCAAAGGATCGAACAAATGTGAATGGAGGAGCAATCGCACTGGGTCACCCAATCGGTTGTAGTGGGGCTCGTATCCTTGTCACCCTAGTTCACAGTCTCCATCGGCTAGCTCACAGTTCCTCAAAAATCATGGGAGTGGATTCTAAAGAAACTCCTCTTCGTGGAATTGCAGCTCTATGTGTCGGTGGTGGGATGGGTCTAGCGATTGCCGTCGAGATTTTACCCCATTTAACCTCTTCTAATTGTCCCCTTATCATGTCCACCTAGGTGTGTTGATTTACTCCATTCGCCTTCTCCCTCCCCCCCCCTCCCGCTGAAATTGACACAATTTGATAAATTAGAATTGAAAATACATGAGCAATTATTCTGTTTGCAACAACAATCCTCTTCTGACCTAAATCAGGTGACCCTTAAAGTTGCATTCTTTGTTTCAGGTAAATGATTAGCCTTTGGGGGTGATGTCACCTACACCAAGTAATTACAACCAGGAAGCCCTGCTTCAACAAGCCTCTACAGCTAACCTTCAACGTGTTTTCGTTCAGAGAGATTTTACGCGTGGCACTGCAGTTAGATTTGAGACAACTCTACCCGAACGCCTGCAAAGCAAGGTGAGTCGGCAGTTTTTGCGCTGAAGTCTTAATTTAAGCAGATATCCTCGGAAGAGTTTGCTAAGGCCATCTCCGACCTGAATGCTCTCTTCGCTACTGCGGAAGCTCTTACACCCGGAGTTATTTGCGAGAATATGGCTGGCTGCCTGACCGCTTATCTCCTTTTCCTTTGCATGCCAACACACTATGAGAGAGTAAGTGCTCAGTTAAAATTACATCATTTTTGTATATGAAACTCAGCCTCCTTTGTTTTAGATACTAGACAAAGTTGCCTATCGTGTTATTCAATTGAATGAAGAAGTTTTCATGCCTCAAGGTCTGCTAATGATTGACCCAGCAGAGCGTGGTCTACGAGTGGTAGGCTGTTAATTAGGACCAATCCAATTCGTTTATTTTAGATTGAAATTTGCATCCTGAACACTACCGATTCCAATGCCACAACGCAACAAGTTTGAATGTTGGTTTCTCATTCTCTTCACATACGAAAACACCAGTATTTTCAAATCCCAATATATATTTAATAATATCATCCACCTATCCTCATTCACAACAATAGTGTGAGTTTGATTCATTTCTCATTTCGTTCTTGGAAAAAAAACAAGTTCTGTTTCCCTTCTCAATGTGTAAGACAATCGCATAAAATTGTTGTAATAACAAAAAAATCAGATCAGCGGTCCATTTGAGAAATGTGAAGGGAAACTTAAGTTATGAGAAAGCGGTGTTGGCGTTGGAATATAAAACGCGTGGTAGAAAAGAGAGACCTCCGTTTATAAGGGAAGTGGGGGGAGGGAGTAAACTGTGTCCCGCGTAACCTTGCCGATGATTACCACTGAAAGACGCTCGCAAGAGATGGTTAGGCTTGATATAGTGGTGTGCCTACTGATAAATCATCAGTAGTAGAGGGAAATTTATATGCTTGTAGAAGGAAGGAATATCGCTACATAATTACTGATTAGGAATTCCATGCAGTAACAGCCAACAATGGAAAAGAGGGCGTAATCATCGCTAGGAGTGTCCCTCCACATCACATTGGGACCAAAGACAAGAGCAAGGTTCCTGGAATTCATTTGGTTGACGCTTGACATTCCAGCCACCCTGAAATAGTGAGATGTCAGTAGATAGAACTTTACGGAAATCGAGTAACATTCGAAACATATTTACAACTTACTTGCTCAAATGCTCAACGATCGCCTTTGTTGTGGCATAGTGGCAGTCTGGCATTTTTGCTAAGATGCCGCGCATCGTTTCTATGTTCTGCTCAATCGTGAAAGACGACATGGAATCTTTGAAGTTCTCTTAACAAAGCAAGTCAACGTATTAATCTAACTACACCAGAGGCTTTTTCATCAATTTGACCTACCAAATTCATCGTAAAGCGCGTAAACAAGTAGGGGTTCTTTCAATTCTCTAAGGAAGAGCTTTAGACTATCGGAGAGTTCATAAATATCCCAATCGTCTGAGTTTAAGTAGTATTCACCTTTATTAAGAAAAAATCAAATTATACACATAGACTAAAGGAGAAATGTAACGCTGATAAAATGCAACTCACTATGATTCACTTGATTACGCAATCTTTGGATGATCGCGCCATTACCACTTTTGCGGTACAATCCGGATGCTTCCAGACCTTTAGAAAGCGAAATATCAATGAACTGTGAGTAATTCAAATGAATTCTACATTCGGGACTGGGACAGTACGTTGCACCCACAGTCTAATTCAAGGCACACATCAAGTGAAGTTTCTGGTTCAAATAATAGTCATTCCCATAGTAATATTCAAAATATTAGTTAACCACTTGCTAATGGCAAATTCGAATAGTGGGATGTTCATGTTTAAATTCTTTCAAAGGCACTATTTTACAAAGAATGAGATGAGGAATTTGATTGAGTAGGAAATTGAGGAATTTTTTTCCTCTTGGAAGCTATTTACGATAAGGAAAAACTAAGTTAGGTTCTTTGAAGGAAATTCGTTTAGACTACCGGTAATTTGTGGGGATAACTCCTTTGCACTAATATATATAACTGACAATCCATATATCAAATCATTGCCTATTTTCTTAATGAGTGACGAGAAGAGACCCTCCTGTGATCTAAAGGCCATTTCCGTCCGCTTATTTACTAAGGTAACATACACTTGACTGTTTGAACAAGCAAGTGCATGTTTGGGTAAAAGAAGAGTGAAGAGAATTAGTCAACGGCAATCTGGATTTTCCTGTTTCACATCCAATCAGCTCAAGAAAATACCAGTTTTAGGGTATGTTTAGGTGTGCGTGATAAAAGTTATCCAAGTACTAGCTTTTAAAGTGGCAACAGAATATATATATGCACAAACCTCTAGATTCCACAGCGCGAATGACTCGAGTGACAAATGTGGGAACTTTGGTTCCTTCCCTTTGGCACAATGCGATGAGGTTGGAACCGAATACGGGTTCATCTAAAGTGTAGGGGACAATAGAGTGAAACATATTACATGAGAGGCCAAATCACGAACTCGCTAAAACCCGTTAGGGGAAAAGCAATTGCATGGCATTTAGCGGTGACGAATTGTGCTTTCCACGTCTTGTTAGTCAAATCAAGCAGGCCAGACGGACTGGTTGAGTGAATAAAGGAGATTATTAGTACTCTGTTTATAAACGCTTGAAAACGAACTAGCACAAGCAAACACGTAACGATTAATACCATTGATTAATGAACTCTTTAGTCCCAATCGATGCCTAAAGGAAACAGTATACTGATACCTTCATTCTTCTTGTTTCCAGACGATTTTCGTACAGGGACATCGTCCTCAATAAAGGAGTCACCTAAGAATTAGAGAAGGGAAATGCACTGTGTATAGATTTGCCTCAGGGATTGTCTCCTTTCAAGTCTCAAGATTATCCGCAGATTAAGTAGGGAGCACTACTTAAATGTGATTTTAATAATCTTGCCGCACATAAGTCCAAGTTTTGTCCTAGAACAGGTGTTATTTAAAGTGTAAAGATGCGTTTAAAAAGCACAGGAGCTTAAGCGTAAGAGCAAACCAAAGCCCATACAACAAAGCAAGTGGTATTGTTAACTTACGAGAATACTCCCACTCCAGAATCACTTTTTCTCTTGACCATGGTCCAAATTCACTGTGCTTTTAGAGCACTCCACCTTTTATACAACAATTAGAGGTCTATTTGCAACAGTGGATTAATCAAATTTCCATGCTTTTTGATGTCACAGCAAATAAGGAGCCTATGTACAGCCTCAGTAATTGAAAAACACCTAACCGCACTGGTTAATCCGAGTTTCATACCAAAGCCCCCTTGATGTTACTAGTATAACCACGATGAGTAAGAGGAAACACGCTCAATATATGTAGAACAGTGTGATTTACAGAATGTCACTGGCGTTAACTTTCCAATGAATTGCCATTGTATATTAATGAAATTATCGCAAGTTAAAAATTCTAATACTTGTAAGTAATAAAAAGGCCAACTAACTGGATTCATTTATCACTTATGAGGTGTGGATTTACAGAAATTGAGGAAATTTACCTTTGAGAATGCCCAGTTCTCGAATTTTCTCTAGTGGGGGTCGTTTTCGGAAGAATTCGCGGAGCATTGTAACCACCTTCTGGTCAACACTGGGCGGGGGACCTAAAGCGGACACATAGTGACTCGATTACTATTTTGTTGAAATTGTAGGAATCTATGGAATATCCTCAATTCTAACTAACTTGGTTGGAAATTACGTTGCATTTATACCTTTTACCCAACTTCACTCTCTCGGGGTCATACCTCGTTTTAAGTAAAGTGGAAAAGATAGAAAAAGAAATATTTTGCGATTTACAATTTTACGTTTGCATTAGCTGGTTTGAGTGTTAACATCGAAATAAACGTGTGATTCCTCAGAGGGGATAATAAGATTTAAGTAATGGCATTAATGGAACTTCTATAAACAATTGTGAAATGGCTTACGGGTAGAAAATGACCTTCGCTCGAACCGATCTTCTTTCTACAAACGACATTAAGAGATATAAAATTAGGAGTTTCGAGAAGCATTAAAATAGCGAAGAATCGACAGCAAAAATACATCGAAATCTTTGGAGTATTTCAAGGCTGTTTCCCAAGCCTTGCGCAGTTCTGGCGAAGGTGTTTCAATGAAGTATTCGGAGACACAGTCCGCATCAGTTGTGTCCACCAACTACAACAGAAAGCAAAGCAAAATAATACGAAGAATCTTCATTCATTTCTTTTTTCTTGGAGGAAGCGCGCACAGGAAAGGCGTTGACTAGGAGATGCGATTACTCTAACCTGGTTGGTTGAGCAAGCTTCAATGTTAGCATATGAGTCATCCTCTAGTTTCTATGGCTTTAGTCCATTTAATTTGCCGTAAGTGACTAAGTGCATTAAACCACAGAGTCGGTGGAACGTGTGCCAGCGATTTTGGCCTACTAATACATTTACTTCACGTAAAAAAAAAATTATTTTTGCTCTCACGACACCAAAGAAGCCTCAAATTGAGCTACCCCAATTCAGTGGGAGGAGGAGGAGGTGAGGTCAACCTATGGGAAAGAAGGACGCCCCCCCCCCTATTTCTCGAGCACTAATGACTTACAAGACAAAGAGTTAAATTTGTAAGTGTTAATCTTCATCACTTGTTGACACATTATCACAGTAGCCACGTCGATTCTACTCCCTTGTCTAGACCCAGAGGAAGGAAGCAGATAACATGTAATTCTGCGAATTTATTTCAACTTCACTTACATAAAAATGTAAACAGGCTATTTTGAGAGGAGAAGATCTTGCTAAAAGAAACCGAATTCACCGCATACAATTTTTCCCCTACCGATACCGAAGCAAGAGCCAATAGGACTGCAGAGAAGATGTCCCCTCTTTAGCCATATTTAGACTTTAATGTACACAAACAAGTTGTAGAGGACGACAAGGGTCTTAAAGGCGAAAAAAGATTGCACATAAACTAAATGAGGCATGAATAATTCATGGAATGTGATTTTCTTTCCTTCATATATGAGGCATGCAGTAGAAGAGAAAGAACAGAAGAGGTGCTTAAATTTTCAGGAGAATTTAGCATAAAGTACATGCACATGTGCAATCATGTTTAAGTTAAGACCCATGTGAAGTGTTGTGCCAATCAGATATCCTAATTTTCATAGGAACAGCTTCTGAATATTCTTATTCTCCCCCCTCACAACTTCAAGGGCTACAAATAACGGGCTTGTGAATTTACTCCAGTCTAAATAAACGTTAAATAAGTGCGTCGCGAACTTAGTTGACAAGGGTAAATATCAATATAGAGCTTACCACGAAGGCGCAATCACTGCCGTTAACAGGATGAACTTGAAGATCCTTCACATGGAGCTCGACTTCGGGCTTTGTGGAGATGGTGGGGCCTTTCTAAAGGGAAGATAGAGCAGAATAGCGAGCCACGGTCTTGAGAAAGTAGGAAAAGTGAATTTGATATGACATTTCGGTGAAGCTAATAATTCCCCAACAAAGGACAACATTCAGGATGAGGAGCAATCATGATGACAAATGAAGTGCGACTTTAATGCGAATTTGGATAAAAGGCATAATTTAGACATCACCCCCCACTGACTATGTAAATGCAATGCATGTTGTCAAAACATTCTAAACTTTTTAGAGGAGCATTTAATAAAAACACAGGCATTTGTCTCTGGGCTGGCAAATGAGTTGGAATGGTCACCCCACCCTCCCTCCCTCCTATTATACTTGCGATGTTCGCTTATAGATCATTTCCATTTTCACTATTTATTCTGCATTCTGCTCTTTCACCTTCACTATCACATACCATATGCTATTGCTCCTCTTTCAAACTCAAGTCGTCTGATACTGAAGAGAGGCGGCAGTATTATTTGTCAGACCACAGGACTAAGTTGTTCATACCCAACCTTCTGACCGAAAATCAATAATAAACTAATGCACTTCATCCTTGATTCCTGTAGATTAAATAAAATAGCCATGTCGTAAAATAGTAATAGTGGCGTATTTAGACGAGGTCTATATGCTTAGTATCCGAATTCACCGAGTTGAAACCCCATTCAAAGACAAGAGTGACCAACAGCACTGAGTAATGGCAGAACGCTAGTTTCAAAATCAAAGGAGTCCCAGGATATTATGCTAGTCTAGTATGAACGGTTAGCTTACAGACACAGACGGGAGAATATTGGGCTAACTAATCCATAACCCACTGTTGATGACTCTGAAGGAGATGAGTGACTGTAACACCAGTAATCGAGATCAGAAGACAGACAAAGGGGAAGCTACTGATATTATCATAAGTAGCTATCAAACTCACTAGATTTTTGGTCTCCTTGTAAACATAGAGTGTGGGTCCACTAAGTACGAGAACACAAGACATGGACTTCTTGATTTTGCGCCCTCCACTGCAGCGCCTAAATGTGGCCTGACCACGTCGTTCAGTGGCCTGAAAACCACAAACCCATTAAGTACGTTAACTGGAGCAAGTTAGGGTAAAGAGATCGAGAGACCAATACCCGGAGTTTATTTTCAATGGGACCTGTAATGTGATCTTTTGAAACCTTGTAGAACCGACTTGAGTTTTCATCTTGTGTTGGCATTGACGAAAGATTGTCACCACTCATCTGAACAAACCAAACTTATTAAAATAATAACCAAGTGTTATGTACAATTAAAATAATTACTTATATACGCACATTTAGAGGTAGTTTCCTTGCGCCAAATCTGGCCTGAGCTTCAGACAAGTCGATGGTGTTTATGTTCCCAGGAGCGATAGAGGAGACTGGAGCTGAGGGAAGATGGTCATTGAGAGTGCTTGTGGGACGTTTCAAAGCGGGTGGATTGGGGGTGATGTTGCGTGGTTCCACATCTGGCAAATTCCAAGCTGAACGACGCGTTCCTCGTTCATAGTAGTAGACTTTACCGTCCTTACTCTCGGTTTCCACCCACTGAAAGAAGGCAAGAAAGAGCCAAAATCTAAAGCAGAAGTTTGTTCCCACGAATCATAAATCAAAGTTTGGAGAATACTAACTTGCAATAGAAATGTCAATTGCACAATAGACTTAGAATAATACCACTCAAGAATCACAGGCTGAATATTTAAACATCGGACCGTTATTTTATGATTCGACAAACTACACTTACTAGTTGAACAGAGAATTTTTAGCACTTCTCCCCATTTCATATCATACTTGGACTACTGTGCTGTTCCATTCCCTTCCTCCCTTTGATAAAGATGGAGAAATCTTCTGCTGTATTATGACTAATAACTATGGAAAATAATAGCTCCCAAATACAACGAGGTAACTTCGAAAATCACAGAGTACTGAATACAAAGTTATAGGGGCAGAAATCTTCAAAGAATTGAAATGAGTAGAGTGGGATAAAAGAATGTGTGCAAATTTTATAGTCCAATCAAAAAAATCAATAATAACACAAACGTGATGGCGTTTCATAATACACTCATGTTCGTGATGAATTTAGAAAATCGATAAAAAAGACACATCCTGATTTCAAAATAAACAATCGATGAGGGTACGCATCGACGACGATAACACGCCCAAACACACAAACGCATATGTGAAAAATCTAACAGGAATTTACATCATTTCAAGCGCATCCTAACTTTTTTTCGAATATAACCCTAAGTAAGTTAGTGATTATATATAAAATTTGTAAGTGGAGTAGAGTTGAACGCAGTGATCACCGGAAAGCATATTGCTTTGATTTGCCAACCCCACACGTACACACGCGCGCAAATTCGTGCTAATTGTGTGCTATCTGCCACCATGAACAGAAAGCCCGTTGACTTCGAAAAAACACAATCAACCCAATTCGGAGAGAAGGTAGCGCGACGTGGCAAGACGTGTACTCATATTAGCAGATAACTGAAAAGATCATGTTTGGCAGCATAGTGAATGTGCTGTACTAATAAGAACAGGATGATTAAAAAGAAGCCCTTTGTAAAGATCTCTAGGCGCACAAATGTTAAGGAAGGAGCATACTTATTGGCACAACGAGGTTAGGGAATCAGTTAGATCGAGAACTGTCGAGCAGGTCTCCCAAGCGGATTAAGGAACTGTAAGTGAATGCTCAAGAACAATTTGAATGGATGCTTATAATGACACTCACATTTAGTTGGTTAAATGCTACCATTAACACCAATATATATAAGTCTTAGTAGACTAACACAAACAGCAGTTCATCGAAAACAAAAGTTTGCCTATCTGTTGCTTGGACCTTAAAGTTATATTTATTAAACCGAATTACTCACTACAAACGTAGTCATATACTTAAGTCTTAATGCGTTCGCATTTTCACGTGCGCGTAACTCAAACCCACATTGCTCTTATTGGATTAAATTAAGCATTTGGTAGAGAAATTGGATAAAGGGTTCTAGTTACAATCCCTCTCTTATCCCCCTCTCTCCCTCTCTCGGATTGAGGTTTCTAAAATAAGTGCTACATAAGGTACCAAATTCATTGCAACGGAGGACTTGAAAGTAGAGAAAACAATTGTCTGCATGCAGACCAACGAGGAACTTGGATGTCGCAGGAGAAGGCAGGAGATGCTATGACAAGACGTTTGTCTTTACTCCCTTTAATATTTCGCATTGTGGGGTGTGCGATAGACTTACCTCCACGTGGTGCA